TTATTCACAAAAGAAAAAAGAAAACATATGTGTTATCTTTTTATAACAGTCTACTACAGAGTAAGATACAAAAGAATACTTCTGGAAACAGCAGAAGCCAGGCCTGTGCCACTGAATTCCTCATTCAGTGGTAACTATCATACCTACGACTGGAAATTAAGAACAAGAATATACAGTTTGGAGGACATAGAACAGAACTATAGTTTGCTTCTGTATTTGGTACCAATATAATAAATATATAATAAAGGTGTACTTGTTCTAAAAATTAAACAGGAAACATTCTGGCTGGTTAGATACTGTACTTTTAGTACTAGATATCACCTAATACTTTTTTTTACCAAAAAAAAAGGCAATTTATGCAATATTTAATAATAAGAAAAACCAACACTACACATAAACCCAGTTGTAGAAAAAGAAGAAACCAACAAAAAATCAGAATAGTCATTTTCCAAAACAGCCCCTCCTTGGCCTGCACAACCAAAGAATGTAACCAGTTCGGTGAGGCAATTTCAGCACCAGACCTGGCTAGACAGCTTCCGGATCTTTTGTGAATCCTGAAAATGCCACAAGTCAAAGGTATATAGGTGGGGGCGGGGCAGGGAGCTAAAGCAGTAGATTTAAAAAAAAAAAAAAAAAACATTTAAAGATTTTTAATATACTTATGCTCGGCCAGCGAGGGACATATCTAAAAGTAAATTAAAATGCCTGTTCCTAGAAAAGGGCGTGGTTAACTATGGGGTGAAAAGAGGGCTGACTGGAGAGCGGTACCTGTCATAAACGTTTTTCTGGGACTGTCTCTGTGGCCTCTTGTAGTCCTGGTGCTTAACGTAGACGTCTTCTTTACAATATACTATTGCCTGAGCCTGGCTGAGGATGGGAATGGGGAAGAGAGGAAAGCTGAAGGAAAAGTGAAACCTTGAGGGGGTGAAGGGTAAAGAAGGTAACTAAACCTTAACCTGACAGCTATGTACAACACACCGGGCCCCCTCCACTCCCTTTGCTGTGGGGTCAATGCCTGTTATATATTTGGTAGCTTGTGCGGTTTCTCCTCCTTATTGTGGGGGGCGCAAGGTGGAGAGGAAAGACGCATCTTTCATTGACAATGAGAAATTATGTGATTTGTCATGCGCTTGGATTGTGTTATTAGTATTATAATAATTACTATAAATATTAATAATAAAGTATTCTTATCAGTGTTATTTCTTCTTCCGAGACTTTCCTTGCCCAATATTTACAAGTACCGCACAGTGCCTCGGCGAAGGAGAAACAGTAAGGGGAGGGCAGATAAGGAAAGAAGGAAGAGGAAAGAGAGGCCAGAGGAAAGTGAAAGAGCAAGAACGGAGGGGGAAAAAAAGCTAGGACGGTAAATTTGCTGGAAACAAGGAAGGGGAGAGGAGAGGGGCTCAGCAATCAGGACAGTACCACTGTTTGCAAAAGGCCCTCGCCAGCTGTGTCCAAACAGGAGGAGGCTGTATGTGCTCCTTGAGGACTGGGGGCCGGTGGCGGAGGCGGAGGAGCATAGGGACCCTGGCACGGGAGGCCAGGGGACAAAGGGGAGGAGGAGGCGTTGGAGGGGTCACAGAAGGCGGAGTCCCGGGACTGCCTCTCCAGCCGGGTTTCTTTTACAGGGGCAGGGGCCTGGTCGCCCGCTGGGGGCAGCCCCCTGCTGCCACGGTTGCCACTGCAGTGATCCCGCTCGTATTCTTCCTGAGCCCTCTGCATCTTCCGCTTCTTCATCCTACGCTTGTGGATGTGGAAGGTGGAGAGGGACAGCACGATGAGGCAGAAGATGAGGGTGACTAGGACAATCAGCACCAGCGTGGAGGAGAAGGACTGGAAGAGCTGCTGTCCCACCTGCGTAATGCAGGTGCCACTGCCTGCACCCGGACCACGGGCACTTGCGTTGCCACTGCCACTGGCGTTGGGGGAAGCAAAGGTCCGGTTGAGGAGACACGGCGGCAGCGCCAGCCTCAGCTCCTTTGGCGCCCTGGCACTCATTGGCGCTGGGCTGGGAGGGGCCAAGCCCACCAGACTTCCTCTCTTGGGCACACCGTTTCCACTGGCCAAGAAGAGGAGAGAGCCCACGCCGCCCCAAACTACTCCCTGGTATGGGAGTGGATGCGCGTGCGAGCAAAGGACTGAGGGAGCAACTGCAGGCAAGCAAGCTGGCAGGGGAGCGAGCGATGCCCGGGAGATCCTCTCCAGACCCGCCTTGTACGCGTGTCCACGCTCCCTTTTCCTTTGCCAAGGCACCAGGCTGCAAAGAGAACAGGCTTAGTTAGGATCCCTGTCGTTGCTCAAGAGAGTGCGGAGGACCGGAAGATCAGCGCCACTGCAAAACTGCCCTTTAGGCACACTGCCTCAGCTGGACACTGCCCGTCGTCTCCGCAGCCGGAGGACCCCAGCCCGCCCGTCCCTGGCCGCACACCAGAGCCGCCAGCTTTAGGTTCCAGCCACTACCAGGGAAGGGGTCTGCGCCCGCACCGCAGAGATGACGATTACTCAGCAGATAAGGCAGCCTCCCTGCGCCCTGCACAACTTTCTAATTACAACAGACATGAAGCCACCTCGCATTGTGGTCCCCGCTTCCCAGAACGCTGCCCCTCCTTTTTCCTGCACCCTCTCAGTGGATGTCTTTCCCTGGATCCTACACTTTCCAGCACTCACTCCAGGTCGCCAAGCCAGCTCGGGGTACGCAGTCCTCCCTTCTCTTCCCTCCACTTCCTGACTCTCCCTTTCCAGACGATGTCAGATCCCTTAGGTCCGATTCCCATAGGGGTCCCCTGGCACCACATCCCGCTCCGCCTCTGTCCACCGCTGTGGCTGACGCGCAGGACCGCGCTCCATCCTTTCTCCAGCCTTATTCTCTGGTACCTCCCCCCAACCAAAAAAAAAAAAAAAAAGCAGCTGAAACACCGCTCAGCTAAAGCTCATCTCCGCAACCGCCCCCCCGTCTCCCCATTTCCCTGTGTACCCTCTCCCCACTTGACAGTATCTCGCTTCTTTCTAGGGGGCTGGAAACTGAAGGGGGATGGTTCCTGCCTGCAAAGTTTGGGTTCCCGACCTTCTCTTCGGCCTTCCCAGCCTCAGCCCGAGGGCCCCGAGGCTTTTCCAGGGACCAGAACCAGGTAAACCTGCAGAGAGCAGCACAGCCCCTTGTCGCTCTCAAAAGGCAGCTGCAAACTGTTGCACTGCAGAGCAGTGAGGCGGCGCGCAAGCCTGGACAGGGGCGGGGGCCGAAGCTACGGCCAGGAGTGCCTGCGCAGGCCGCCTGGTCTGTCCTACCCACTCGCGCCCGGCCACCCTACCGCCCCGGTGCCCCGAGCCTTTAGCCGCACCGTATCCCTTACCTGGGGCCACCAGCTGGCTGTAGGGAGGGAGCCGTGCCGCGCGGCTGCAGTGGCGGCTGCAGAAGGCGCGGAGTGAAGGGGCCAGAGACCAAGCCGTGCTGCCGCCGCTGCTGCTGCCGCTTCGGGGAGCTCAGCTCGCAGCCTATTGCCAGAGAGGCCGGTGACGTCAGGCAGCCACCACCAGGGCTCCAAGCCACCCCCCAGGCCCCCACCCCACCCTCATACTCCAACATCTCGTCCTGGCAGAGCAAGCCTCTGCCACACACGTTCCCAGTCCTCTGCCCTTCCCCTGCCCAGGGGCTATGAGGAGCACTCTCCAACCCCCACCCTGTGAGCAACCCGCCTTCCGCACCCCTACGCCTAGCAAGGGTTGAAGCTTCAGTTTTCTGGTTGCCCGATTCCTCACCTTAAACCTTTTCCCATTTGGTCTCAGGAACACATTTTTACACTCTAGAGATCCATCTCCCCTCAGGGTGCACATTAGAATTTTCTCCCTCAGCTAAAGAGAATGGCTTCCCTCCCCAGTCCTGCCTATGCTGGCCTGGTTCTGAACACAAGCTGCGTACTCAAGAGACGTGAAAGGGGCATTAATGAACGCAAGTGTGGCAGAACTTGAATTACAAACCCGATCGTGTATTTAACATTAAACAATCCAAATTAACCATTTTCCTTTCCTCCAGAGTCTCCAACTTATTTTTCGCTTCACCTGACCCATGTCCCTCCTCTCTTCCCTTAACACACTCATCCCCAAGCCCAAGATCCATTCCTATTCTGATAATCTAGGCGCGCAAAGCACACACACACAGCCTACATGGCAGGGAGACAGAAAATCGCTCATAGGAGTGCAGATATGAACTGTCCTGTGAAAATTCTGAGTATTGTGCTCTTACAAAGTATCCCTTTGTTGGCCCTAAAGCTGTTGAAGTGCTCAGTGCCTTTGCTGTTGTATTAACAAGAGCCTTTCAGCACAATGGATAGAACTTCCTGAAAGAGTCTCATCAGCCTGCCTGAATCTGAACAGGGACTAATCAACTACTGGTTTAGAATTCTTGGAAAACCTAAATAGTGCATTTGGTTACAGTAACCACTTTAAAACGAAGTATTCTCATTTTTCTACTGGAGAAGCCATATTGGAATAGCACATAAAAACATTGTAAAGTCTTCGATGGCACTTAGATTATTAAATATACATTTCCTTCTTTCCTCAGGGTCTAGTATTCTTCCTATAGTTGAGTCAAACAGTGCCTGTGCAGTTCTTACTTACTAAATTGAGTAATGCAGTATACATTGCTGCTGTATTCCTGCTATGCATCAGAACTAAGAGACAGCAAGAAATAACTGCTGATACCTATCTATTTGCTTGTATTTGCAAGCAGAGGGTTTTGCAAAAAAAAGAGAGTTTGATATGGGGAGGAACATTTGTTTGTCTGTGATCTGAGGGGTGGGGGAGGAGGGGAGGTGAGTCCCTCCTTCTAATCTTGTGTTCCTATCTAGTCCTACTTCAACTTCTCCTTTTTCTCTTTCTGTCCACAACTTATAATTTTGTTCCCATTTATTTGAATAAAAGTCACCAGCTTTTTCTTTATAAGTGTCTCAATTAAAAAAAAAAAGTATCCCTATTTAAGTGAATAGTTCAGTACATGCTGAATAATGCATGATTGCTCAGAGCACAGATTAATGCCCTTGGCTGCCAGAGTCACGCAGTTAATGATGGCAAATGACCCCGATGCTGGCTTAGCTTTTCTGCCTGGAATGAGGGCACCTAATGCCCTGTAAAAGCCACCTGCCATATTTAGATGTTCTGACTTTGATGGATTCAGAGATGGAAGGGTGAGCCTTGTTTTCACTGTGATCACGGAGACTTTGCCATTGACATCTGACATACAATATCCCATTTTTGTATATTCTCTTTGCTCCTGAAAAGTTGAGTCTAAACATTTTGTAAAGCAAATCCAATTTTGAATACTCCAAAAAGGGATCTGGCTATTTAAAGACTCTTTAGAAAAACTGTCTTGTAAAGCAAAGAATCTTTACATAATTAGACTTAACTCTCACTAGTCTGTTTTCTAGAGTTAGAGGAATGAGTTATCAGGTTTTCCCAGGAAGAAACGTGCATACCTTTACAATATGTTGTAATGGGATTACAATATGTATATAATGAGATTCCTTTTGTACATCAAGCTTCTAAGACATGTGATGAGGCTGCCATTGTTCTTATCCTTTTGTTATAAATAATAACCATCTGTTATATCAGGAGTGCTAAAAGTGTCTGCATCATTTTATACAACCTCTGGAAAGACAAGATCTTGCCCTGGAGAATTTACGATCTATAGCAGATTAATGTAATCCACAAAACAATGGTATTTAACTGAAAATGATTTAGGTATATAAAAGACATCAATTTTCAGGCCAAAATCCTAGCACGCTTTTTTTTCTTTTCTCTTTCAAGAAGAATAGGCTGTAGGTTTATAACTTGTTGTTACCCAGAGAATGAATGTGCAAAATACGTAGATTTGGATGTCACTAGGTAGTATGATTCAAGCTCCAAGAACAGCCATGACAGCAGACATGTACAACCTGTTGAGCTTCAAGAATTGGTCTCACAGAGTTGCTGCATGATTTTGGCACATCTGGCACAATGGCAAAGCCTCTTCCAGACAACAGATTGCCACTGTTTTGCCACCAGACATCTCAAGCCACACTTCCAAGAGTGGAAGACCAAGAAGCTTCTGAGATTCCCAAATTTGTCCTTCGTGATGGCTAAACCCCTCTGAATTCAGGCATGTTCCAAATATTCAGCATCATGTAATACTTGCTCTCAAGTTTGATGAGGAATCTCTAGCTTAGAAAGAAGTGCCACATGATCACTTGGTACATCAACCCACAAAAGCACTAAATCAATAATAATAACAATGATGATGAATGCTATTATTATTTACTGTTATTTGCAAAATGCCTACTGTATTAACATTACACTATGTACTCTAGGTACCCAACAGAGAACTAAAATCCCTATATTAGTATTAATCCTCAGCATAACCCTGCAAGGTTATTGTTTGCCAAAATACAAAATTATTCATTTATTCATTCACTTACTTGCTCAATAAAAATCTTTGAGTACCTGCTACATGTCAGTGAGGAAACTAAAACTTAGAGTAGCTAAAGACCATGCTCAAGTCACATAGCAGTAAATATATCACTAGGATCAAACTCAAGCAAACTGATCCCAAAATTAGTATTTCTTTAA